GTTTTCACGCCTTCTTATGCACACACCCGTTAGCTTTATCTGGGTCATACTCAAGATCACAGGACCAGCCCCAGGCGCGTCAGTGCACTCAGGACTCCTGTTATTATATCACTCCTCTCTGGTGAGCCCCCAGCCACTACCGTTAATCCCTGCTGCAAACTGACAGGTGCCTCAGCTCCACCAGCCCCTTAAGAGGCCGAGCCTTGCCTGGCCCAGGCAGTCCCCCGCGGCTGTGACTGCCTGCCCATGGGTAGTGGTGGAGCCGCACTCACCTGGGGCGGCACTCCATGCTGGAGGAGCCCCGAGGCCTGTAGTCTCTGCTGGCTATGAACCTCCAGTTCATGCCTGCTTCCAGCCTGTCCAGGGCCAGCAGCATTTATGTTTTAGGAAGTTCTGGAGAATGATACTACAGTGTTGCTTAGAAAGAACATCTACAGGTGTCTTTTCAAAGTGTAGATAGACAAGGAGGCAAAGCTGACCTTTCATGTATATTTTGAATTCAGAAACATTCCATCCAATACTATACAGATTAGGTGACTGTGTTGGGTTCCTTTTCATCTAAATTATCAAAAATCCCAAGGATTCTCCAGTCTGCATTTAAACACCTCACATGGCTGAAATAAATAATTCAAATAACTGAGTTTTCTCCTAGTGACAAGAAATTCTTGATTTCCTAAGAGTAAGACAATGTGGCAAGTCAGTCCGCTTAATCCCACCTGTTTCACTAAAAAACAGAGAGGATTATGGTAGACAATGACCAGGATGCTTGTGGTTATTCTTGTACTTTACTGTGTTATTCTTTGATTTGATGCCTTCTAATTATGTTGAAATTGATCGAGTAGTTGCAGCAGTGATTTCTCAGTACTCGTGTGTGACTGTGAGGATGCCAGAATCTGCCTACATTAATATTACACACATCCCTGTCAATAACCACTCCTGGTGAGAAATGGCACACCCAGGGGCCCAAGGAAAGCCTGCCCCACTGAGCACCGGCTGGGAGGGTGGAGCAGGAACACTTCACACAGAAGCCCCAACTTCGGAGCTGCATGAACCCCTTCTCTAGGTTAGGTCTCATCACACCAGACCCCCAGCGCCTGGTGAACAGCATTTATCAAAGTTGAATCAAAGTTTATTTTTAAAATTTTCTATCTTCCCAACTTGCAACATGGGCTAGGATGATACTTCATGTCTCTGAACCCTGGAGAAGGGCCACAGGGCCACCATCCTGAGCCTCCAGTTTATGGGGAGGGCCAGGAGGTGATCAGGTTGCCAAACGGCCAACAAAAAAATCTGTCTTGGGGAAAGCCCATAAACATTCCCTCTGCATCGGCTGCTCAAATGCTCTGGCTCAGCCTGCACGTGAGCAGTGCCCTGTGTCTGCAGTTCCAGCAGAGGCCCAGCTGAGAACAAGGCAAGAGCCTGGCCAACCCGCCTGCCAGAGGGCACCTGCCACTCGCCTTCACCCACTCTTCACCAGGCATACAAGGCCTGCAGCCACAGTAAAAGCCCCTTCCTGGTGTTGCTTAGCTTCCTGCAGGGCAGACAACGAGAGGATACCCTGGGTACCTCGAAGACAAAATGCAGACAGGGAGCTGAGGGAAAGAGTGGTCTGAGCAGAGCTGGGACAAGGGCACACAGTGAACCATCGGGGGGGTCCCAGGAAGGAGAAGCGGCAAGTGCCAAGGCACCAAGAACAGCAGCTGCGACAAGACTTGAGGGCAGAGGGGTCCAGGAGCCAATCCCTCCTCTTGGCATCACACGCTGGACACCCAGGACCCCAGGAGAGCGTGAGAGGCCTCTGGATTTGGGCTGCAGTGACGGCAGTCAGTAAGGTGGGCAGGACGGGGTGGGTTCCGAGCTGCCTGAGGGTCACACTGGTTCCCACGTACAGTGAGCAGGAAGGCTGGATGCAAGGGGCCTGGTGTCACAGGAGGCTGAGACGTGCCCTGCCTTCCCGAAGGTCACCCGGCCGCGGTCTGGACGAAACCCAGAAGTCCTCGGTTGCCTGCTCTGAGCACACCTCGCTCTCGAAGAGCTCCTGAACCAGGCAGCACCTCACTCACACTACACACTCTGCCCCCTTCAGAAACGTGCGAACTTGTGGGGGCAGGCGGGCGCCACAGGGAACCTGCTGAGGCTGCACGTCAGCTCGCCAGCTCTCTCGCGGCACAGCTTCTCGAGGCCGGGGTCTGGGGCTCTCCATCCACCCCAGAGCCCAGCTGTCTGGCGACTCAGCAGAGCGTGGTTGCTGCCGACCGACACAGCTCGGGCTCCAGGACGCCCTGTAACTCTCACTGCTTCACCAGCTCAAGGACACCCTGGAAACCACACACCGGATCTTTAAAAAGCAAACCAACTGAAAAGCAATTAGCGGAGACAAAACACAAATATTTGAATATTGAGTCTTCAAATGATGTCTACCTTGAAGATGGACCTCGATCTCCCCTTCAGACCCAAGGCTCCCTGGGAGAAAGCAGCAGGCCTGGCACAGAGATGCAACAGCTCCTGCCCCTCTGCCAGGGCCCACCTGGCTCAGGCAGTAAGGCTCTAAATGCTGCGAAAACGCACATTGCGATCTACTGAGGAAGCCCGAACTGGCCCCAGGCAAGTAACAACGGTGTGAGAATATTTCATTTAGCACTTTCCTCTTTCACACCCTTTGGGGGAAAAGACTGTCGCATTCAGGAATGAGGGGGAGGGAAAATTAAATAAAAAATGTCTTCAAATAACAGCCACAGAGCAGCAAAGGGAGGCACCAATGCCTGAGCCAACTTCAAACTTTGTGCCACCCTGATTTGCCTTGGAAACCGTTTCACTGTGCCTTCTGCTGCTTACACAGTAATTATTAAAGGCATCAATTGTAAGTGCCCAATTCCACAGCTCCCACGGCCAAGGTCGCTGGCACGTCTCCCACCTTGCCTGCAGCACCTGCCGCCACCCTCATTTTCCACGTCAGTGGGGTAGAATCGGTCTAGGGTGGAAGCTGTTTCTCTGGACCCACACCATGCTTTAAAGTTGAAAGAGGGGTCGCTGCCCACCGCCCAGTAAGGATGAAAGAGTCTCAGATACAACACAAGCATCAGCAGCCCAGGCGCAACAAGTGCGCCGGGCATGGAAGACACATCCCTCGGCGAGGAGGCTGACGCTCCCATCTCTGGCGGGCGCCCTCTGCCCACCTCCAGGAAGAGGACGACCCTGGAGAATCAACTGCCAACTAATTTTCAGCTGACAGGAAAGAAGGAATCCCTCTTCTTACGTCACACATGAGGAAGCCTCTGGATCATACAGAGGTCCTTCCTGGTCCACTGGACATGTGGGCCACCTGGAAGCTCTGTCCCTTCTGGATGTCTGGAGCTGCAGGGCTTGTGTGGGAGGCCCAGACACAGCATGAGCAGGAGTCTTTCCAGGGCGGACTCGGCACTGCTTCCACCAGATCAGCTGCGCGCTGTATTGAGTGACGTCCATGAACGAGGGCCCAGAACATGAGACAGAGATCCAAGTGCTATCCCCAAGGAACTCAACATGTGCACACACACATATGCACAAAGCAATAAAGACACGAGGGAGCAACTGATTCTGCTGGGAGATGCAGACGGGCAGGGAGGAGGGAGAGCTAAACTGAAACTGGAATGAGCCCCCGGGACCCAGCAGCAGGAAGGGCAAAGCAGTGCACAAAGGGTGCCTGGGTCGTTCTAAGGAGCTGCACTTCACCCTGCACAGCGGGCTGGCCTGAAAGGCAGAAGCAGGTTGGACAGACGAGGAGGGAGACTTAGGGACTCCCCCCACTCAGGTTCACACTGAGGTGGCAGGGGACCGGGTATGGATCTGTGACTCCAGAGAGTGGTGAAGGACACCAAGGAGGGCCACTGGCCTCAGCCGAGGGACATCCTGAACCAGACACGGAACCTGTTGGAGAAATGATGAGTGTGGCTCTGGACACCAGGAGTGTTTAGGATGTGCTATGAAAAAAGGCTTGAAATTCAGAAGAGAAGTAGAACCTAAAGATACAGATGTGGGCATCCTCTGTGGATAAATGGAAATTTAAACCATTAGTGGGGTGGGCAGTCCTGAGAGCTCTCAGCAAGAGAAACACAGGCCAAGGACATAAACCCAAGGAGCAGCCAACTCCAAGGCTGGCCAGGAAGGGCATAAGGACTGGGTAATGAGGCAGGAAGTCTCCCCCAGCAGAGGGAGAAGATTTTCTATCGGGGACTGGTGTTGTGGTGTAGCGGGTGAAGCTGCCACCTGCAAGCCGGTATCCCACAGGGGCACCAGTTCATGTCCGTTTGTCCCACTTCCAATCGAGCTCCCAGCTAATGGCCTGGAAAAGCAGCAGACGATAGCCCAAGTGTTAGGACCCCTGCCACACATGTGGGAGACCCACATGCAGTTCCTGGCTCCTGGCTCCAGCCTGGGCCAGTGCTGGCCAGTTGCAACCATCTAGGGAGCGTATGGAAGATTTCTCTCTCCATCTCTCCCTCTCTCTGTAACTATGCCTTTCAAATAAGAAAATAGGTTTTTTTTTAATGTTTTTCTTTCAGGAAAAGGGCAGTTCAGAAAAAAATAAAGAATAATGCTAAAGAGAAGCCAGGAAGGATGAGGGCTACAAACAGGCCATGAAATTTAGTAACAAAGAGTTCTCACTGAAGCCTAAAATGAGAAGTTCCTATCGAATGGAGTGGGAAGGCAGACGCCCACCATCGGTGTTAAGGGGGGATGGGAAGGAGAACTTTAGCAGGAAGGTTTGAGAGAAAGTGCACACCCAGAGAATAACAGCACACTTGTGCGGAGAGAGGGAGAGAGCAGCGTAGAGTGGGTATCTGGGTATGAAGTTTGGGTTGCAGAACTCAGAAACCATCAACAGATGGGTGACAGTGGGAGGCCCATGGACGACCCTGCCCTTGTAGAGTAGGCAGGAAATAAAGCCCAAAGCCAGACTGTGAGGTTCAAACGGAGCTGGAGCAAGGGTCTCTCTTCCCATCCTTGATCCAAGCATTGCTTTTTTTTTTTTTTTAAGATGTATTTATTTATTTGAAAGTGTTACAGGGAGGGGCGAGGCTGAAAGAAAGAGATCTTTCATCTCCTAGGTCACTCCCTAGATGGCCACAACAGCCAGTGCTGGGGCCAGGCCAAAGTCAGGAACTTCTTCCAGGTCTCCCATGAGGGTAGCAGGAGCCCAAGGACTTGGTTCATCTACCACTGCTTTTCCCAGGCCACAGCAGGAAACTTGATCAGAAATGGAGCAGCCAAAACATGAACTGGCGTCCATAGAGATGCTGCATCGCAAGCAGAGGCTTCACCCACTCTGCCACAGTGCTGGCCCCAGCACCGCTCCTTGTCCCCGCTCACCCAGCTCGGCCCATAAGGCCGGATGCTGGCCCCTGCACCGCTCCTTGTCCCCACTCACCCAGCTCAGCCCATAAGGCCGGATGCTGGCCCCAGCACCGCTCCTTGTCCCCGCTCACCCAGCTCGGCCCATAAGGTCAGATGCTGGCCACCCTAGCTTCTAGTAGTGCCTGTCCCTTACGAGAAGCAGATGGAAGGTCTTCAAGTTCTCTGCAACACTGAGGTTCTACAGAGACTGGAATGTTAAACAAAGGAAGATGCAATGGGACCCGAGTCAGAAACATGGGCTACTCACCTGTTTGGAAGCCTCAACAGTCCAAGGCCGGAGCTGCACCAACAGCTCAAGCAGAAGTGAAGCTTTTCCTGGAGACTCAGTGGACCACTGAAGACGCCAACAAGATGCACCACATAAAAACTGGGGCTACACAAAATGCACACGACGACAACCAAATAAAGTACACACTTGAGAGGATTTAGGACTGAATGAAGTGTCTACTACAGTGGAATTTAAAGACAGTTTTTTATTAAGGCATAAGTAACGCCCAACAAAATGTACAGATCTTAATCTGTCCAGTGAGTTCTACCAATTGTACACATCGTGTAATCAACACCCAGAATGGGAGTTAGCACACTTCAACCAAGCCTGCTTACCTCCTTCTAGACAATCAACTTCCCTTCCTTCTCTCAAGAAACCACTTCTGACCACGTCGCATCCGCTCTGACTTTACCTGGAGACGCTCATACGGCGGGGACTGCTGTCAGCTTTGCGCTCCACCCGCATGGTCGTACGGGCAGTTCATTCTTTACTGCTGAGCAGGATTCTACTGGAACTACTTATTCATTTTTCAGTGGATGGACACTGGGGCTATTTCCAGTTAGGGCTTTCTATGGTCTTGTTCATATAATTCTGTGAGCATGTACTTTCATTTCTCCGAGGTAAACAGACAAGAGTTAAATTATTGGGTCACAGCAGATGTATGTGTAATGGGGGAGGGAGGGCTGTCAAACAGGCCTCCAAAGAGAAATCACTTAATCCCCTCACCAGAAACACAGGAGCGCCACAGCCATCTTTTCAATTCAGCTGTGCTAACAGACGGTTTCTCATGGTGGTTTTAGTTCATATTTCTCTGCGACGGAAGAACTGAGCACCCACTGGCCACTTGTGTATCCTCCTCTGAGCAGTACTTGCTCAAAGTGAGCAGGTTCATAATTTTGACAAACTCTATACAGCTGTGTAGCCACAACCACAATCAAGAGATAGAAAACTGCCATGACCCCAAAAAACCCCACATGTCCTACATGCAGGTGGGGAGCCACCACCATCCCCAGTCCCCAACACCATTTAGGGCTTTCTTTTCACAGTTTTGCCTTTTCCAAACGGTGGCATAAATGGCACCAGACAGCCTGTAGTCTTTTGAGCACTACGCATGATGCATTTGGGATTCGTCGGCATTATGTCAGTTTGTTTCTTCCCACTGCTGACTAGTATTTCAATGAAGTTGTTAATTCATTCACCAGCTGAATGACATTTGGGTTGTGTTCAATTTCTGGGGATAGTGAGTAAAGCCACTGTAAACATTCACATGCGTGTTTCTGCATAAAAAATAACCTGTCATTCTCTTAGATAAAAATACCTAAAAGTGTGGCCCCTGGGTCATATTACAAGTGCATTTTTAAAATTTTAAAGTGTAGATTTATCAGAAACTGAAATTTGTTTCTAAACTGGATGAGCCACTCTGCATTCTGCCAACCAAGACAGGAGTTTCAGTGGCTCCCGCGGCTCTCCAGCACTGGCAGCACCAGGGTGTTCTGGTTTCATTCTGCCTTTTGAAGACATCCCGACAGGTGTGTGCTCCTGCCGCGGCCTGGTTTCAGCTTTATTCCCTGATGACTAACATCGTTGCGTATCTCTCACGTGCTTTGTGGCCGTCTGTATCTTCAGAAGTCTATTCAAATCTCTCGCCCACTTCAAAATTAGGGTGTTTTCAAACCACTGAGTTTTAAAGAATTGTTCATATATTCTCATCCCAAGCCCCTTTATTAAATACATGCTTTGCACAAGGTTCCTCCTGTTTGGTTTGCCTTTTCATTGTTTTAACGATGTCTTCTTCAAAATTTCTTCACTTTTATAAAATCTAACTTCCAATTCTTAGGGTTGTGTTTTTGGTGCCATATCTAAGACATCATCGCCTATCCCAAAGTCACAGAACTTTTCATCTATGTTTTCTTCTGGAAGTTTCATAGTTTCAGAATTTAAACTCAGGTCTAGCCTCCATTTTGAGGCTTTTGTCTGTCTTTGGTACACATAGAGTATCAGCTGAGGGATTTCCTCTGTTTCCGGCTCCACTGCCGCTCTCCCCTCTCTAGCGAATTGCCTGTGCACCTCATCCAGCCAGCTGATCCCAGGAGTGTGCAGGTCTATTTCTGGACTCTATTTTGTCCCATTGATTCCTGTGTCTATGCTCTTGCAGTACCACGCTGTCTTGATTACTGTTAGCTTTATAGGAAGTCTTGAAATCAGGCAGTGCAATCTTCCAGCTTTGTTCTTTTTCAAAACTGATTTGGGTTTTTTAAGCCCTTTACATTTCCATATAAACTTTACAATCAGCTTGTCTAAATTTTGACCAGGCTGGCATTGAATTCATAAATCAATTTAGGGAAAATAGGCATCCTAACAATACTGCGTCTTTGAATACATAAAATAACTCTCCATTTATGTAATCTCTAACTTCGCTCAGTGACATTCTATCGTCTCCAGTGCAGAGGTTGTTGACATTTCCTTAGTTTTATTCTAAGGTATTTGATGCTTCTGAAGCTATTGTAAACAGTACTTTTAAACGTCTGCCTTGAATTGTGTGTTGCTAACATATAGGAGTAAAATTGATCTTATGCCTTGTAGCCTTGTTAAAGTCACGTATTATTCTTGTAGGAGATTTTTTTCTTGGATAGGTTCCATAGGGGTTCTCATAATCATGTTGTTTGCAAATAAAAGCTAAATTCTGCACCTGGAATGATCTGACTGGGTGGAACTCTGAAAGACAGATGCTTTTGCATTATTAGAGTGCCTAAAATTCCAGAAGCAAAAATTTGGGGAAAATTCACTGTAAATGCGTGAACTGGGATGACAACACTTTGACCTCGGAGTTTTATTTCCTTATTAGCTTGACGCTCTCTTGCAGCCGACAAGGGAGGCTGGCTGATGGCGCAGCAACAGGACACACCATCGTGGAGGAACTAGGAGAGCTGCGACTTCTCACGCATCACGGCTTTCTCCTGTGCAGTCCGCAGTGCTGGCGGCGGGCCTGGCGCACACCGGCGTGCCTGGCAGGGAAGCAGCAGCAGCTGCTACGGTGCCCCTGCATCCTCTTTCATCCGGGTATTTATCCTAAGCTCCTGGTAATACGATCTCTACTGGCCTTGTAAACAAAACTTTGGATTTCACATATGACTTTCCAAAGAGCTCTCAATTTCATCTGAAAGCACGCCAGGGAGGGAGGCTGTTAATAGCATTTTTCCCACCAGCACAGAGGCCCATGAAAGGTCTCAATTACAGGTAACTGACAATCCAACAATAAAAAAACACACAGCTGTGTTTGAAACGTAAAAAAAGCAAAAACCCTTGTTTAACGGGGAGGCGACATCAAGTTCACCAAGTTTATGGCTCAATCACCCAAGTACAGAGAAACAAGAAACAGATCATCTGGTGGCAGACCTGACAGAGGCTTGGGTTTAAAATGTATTTCTACTCCATCTCATTTTCTTCCCTCCTGCCACCTTACGTAGCGTGACTGAGGTCCTGACATCTATGGTGTCAAGTGCTAGGACGTGTCTGAAGTTAACTATTCCCTCCATCACAAAAGTCAAGTAATTATTTATCATGCTGGTGTTCTGCCCAGTGGCGCTTCAGACACTTCTCTGTTAGGAGGCAGTGACACCCTACGTGTGTTTGTGTTAGGAGGCAGTGACACCCTATGTGTGTTTGTGTGTCTTACATATTTAACGGAGAAATAACTCCCAAGCACCCCACCACCATTCTATCAAAATAAGGCGATTGTTGAGTTCCCAATTATGTTCTGCCTTCAATCACACGGTTTGGTCTGATTGTATACCCAGCCCTACAGGGACTTGCGCAAAGGCATGTATCTGGCAAGCTTTCAAACCACAGCAACAAAACATGTGCTGAAGGAAATGATTCAAAATATCAGAAAGCAGTCATTTATTTAGAAAGGCTGTGCACATGAAGGAGTAGGCTGCCTCCCAGAAGAGGCTCCATCCGTCAGGAAAACCCTGTAACCCAGCACGCACTGGCTGCAGCCTGCCTCCCAGCACACGGCCTTTACGACTCATCATCACGCACATCAGAGCCGGGGCCACCAGGGCGGCACATCCTCCCACACGGAGGAGCAGCACAGCACAGACGGCGTCACAGACACAGGGACAACCTGAACTCCCTGCAGACACAAGGAAGTGATGGAAGGCAAGCGAATCTTGGCACTGAGTCAAGACTGTCCACTTCTCCATTAGAAATAATAACCCAAGCAAAGCAAACCTGGGGTTCCAGGTCAACCAGGTACCTGTTTGGAGGACTGATATGTGATGAGGGGGCCGGCGCTGTGGGGTGGTAGGTTAAGACTCCGCCTGCAGCACCGGCATCCCACATGGGCACCGGTTCGAGACCCAGCTGCTCTTCTTCTGATCCAGCTCTCTGCTGTGACCTTGGAAAGCAGCAGAAGATGGCCAAAGTCCTTGGGCCCCTGCACACGTGGAAGACCTGGAAGAAGCTCCTGGCTCCTGGCTTCAGACTGGCTCAGCTTTGGCCGCTGCAGCCATTTGGGGTGTGAACCAGCAGATGGAAGACCTTTCTCTCTCCCTCTGTCTGTAACTCTGCCTCTCAAATAAATTAATTAATTAATACAAAGAGGTCCCTCCTGGACTCAGGCCAGCCGAGCTCAGCCAGGTGAAGCAAAGGGGATTCCATTCAGAGGCTCGGCGGAAGCCTCTCCCAGCACCTCCCCGGATGTCCCCTGGGAAACCAACTGCACTGCGCCACCCTGAGGAGCCAAGTCACAGGCCAATGCCACCGTCCCTCACCGGCACACAGACTGTATTAACAGATCTTGTAAATTATATACAATATTCTTCTCAAAATCAGGACACACTAAAATTCTAGCAAGTATTTAAGCTCCACAGCCAAGTCTGAGAAACGCTTGGTGAGCCAACTGCAGTAACCAGACAAGGAGTACGAAGCAGCGATCTGACAACCAAATCAGGACTCGGAAGTTTCCTAAGGCGGCAGTTTTTAGAAAACACAGCATTTGCAAGGAAGAGGGAAAGTGATGGACTAAGGATTAGCCAGAAACTTTTGTAAATATTGTACCATGAAAAGACAATAGGAAGAAAAAAGAAAAAACAAGCTGTTGTGAGCAAGAAATCATCTTGGCTCTTTCAAGGAAAGAGAGAAATGGCTAACAGTAACATTCAAGGCCAATTAAACACAAGTATGTCCATCTGGAAGTGCCAATCTCACTGCTTCAGGTTTGATCGCAGCCGTTTCCCATTCAGGTTGGATCAGAGGGGCCTGTTTCATTTTCAAACAATTAAGCAGTTAATTACCATATACAGAATGTGGCATACTGCGCACACTTCTAATAATCTGTTCGTCACTTTCCACAGGGTTGGCTTACCGAGTTTGCACTAACAGGAAACCAGTGTCTGACATGCAGTCCCAAGTATTCTCCCTGCTGACATGCACACGTAACAGCTCACTGCCACAGCCACGGGAAAACACCCACCTGCTCCACACACAGGCCTCATACACTGAGCAAACCAACCTCCACTGCGCACACCTCAAGACGGCACAGGCGAGGCTGTGTGCCTGTGCTCGTCCTGTTTATTCCTCCGGGGAACCAGGAAGAGTCAAACACCTGGATGGGTTGGCACTGGGTCCCAGACAGGAGATGGGAGAGAAGTTTCTGAAACTTGGCCTAAAGCACTGATGATCAAAGACACCTCCTCCAGCTCCAGGGCTTAGCCCTGGGTCTCAGTTCTACCAAGGTCCATTCACTTTCAATTGAGTGTAAAGTGATTGTTCTTGGTACAACCCAACCACTGTAACACAGCCCAGGGAGACAGCAGCAAGAAGTCTATGGCACAAAGGGGAGCTTGTGCTAAGCAGACAGAGGTCTCCTGAGTTCTACAATCCAGTCCCCAGCTAGCACATTGAAGAGCACGATAAACACTCCAACACACAGCTTGGAGAGGCATAACGTAGTTGAGCCTCAGCGACTTGGAAAGGCAACCACTTCAACGCACCCTCACTGACTTTCTAGGTCTCAGTGGCCTAACGTCCTATTCTTAAAAATCTAGATGTTGCTGATGTGGGCGGAGAGCACAGAGGAGCAGAGGTTTAACAGCCCTGGCTGAGCTGACCCGTGTGACAGCCACAGCCACAGCCACCCCACATGACAGCTCTGGCCAGTCCATTTAGAAGCCCCAGCCAGTGTTGTAACCATGACAGCCCAGTTTGCACCATTCAAACCCCTTTTCCACCCACTGTCCAACCACCACGTGTTTCCGTGCAGCAAAAACTGCAAGTTCCGCAACATTCCAAACTTAGAATCAGTGCCAACTAGAAATCTCCAGTACGGCCAGGAGCTGTGTCCTGTGATGAACTTTAGGTCATTGTAACAGCATCACTATGGCCAAGACTCCCACTCCCATCACACACCTAGTGCCCTGACCCCTCTGAGGTTTCCAAACATGGGCACAGAAATGGGTGGTATTCAAGCCCCACCTAGAACCCACTCCCTTTGAATATTCAATTAAGCCCCACCCCAACACCACCCCTTATGCCTCCAGGTCATATAACAGGACAGCTCCAGGCCTTGGTAAGGGCTGCTCATTCTCTCTAGCTTGCCTGCACTTAAGACTCTTGAGTGTGTACTTTTGCTTTAAATAAATATTGCACTCCTGCTCACTTCTACGTCTCTTTCCAGAATTCTTTCTCAAGTGGAGACAAGAAACTGGATGTAGTTGAGCCAGGGGCTGCCCCCCACCCCCAACACTGCCGGAGGAAAATCAAAGTAGCTAAAAGCTGCTCACCGAAATTTAGTCTGCAAACACCCTCACCTTAACAGACTGGCTGCCTAACTCCAGAATGAATGCTGGAACCCAGGAAGTGTTCCCATCATGCTCGGAAGCGTGCTGTGGGAGAAGCCAGAGAAAAGGCCTGGCTCTCGGGCGTGGGGGGAGTGAACTCAGATTCAGTCGCTGGCACCAGAGGCCAACCCCACAGCTGAGCCCTGACCGCAGGCCAAGAGTACTAGGAACATGAACTGTGTACCTCACTTGAGTACAGCCACTCTTTTAATCTCTAAATCTCAAAAAAATTTTAAAGGTTTGTTTATTTATGTATTTGAAGGTAAGAATTACTTTGAGGGAGAGAGAGGGAGAGAGAGGGAGAGAGAGGGAGGGAAGGAGGGAGAGAGGGAGAGGGAGGGAGGGAGGGAGAGAGAGAGAGAGAGAGAGAGAGAGAGAGAGAGAGGTTTCCCACCTGCTGGTTCATTCCTCAAATGGCCATAATGGCCTGGGGCTGGGCCAGGCCAAAGCCAGGAGGCAGGAGCTTCATCCTAGTCTCCCATGTGGGTGCAGGGACCCAAACACTTGGGCCAACACTTGGGCCAACACTTGGGCCATTCTCTGCTGCCTTCCTAGGCATATTAGCAGGGAGCTGGATCAAAGTGGAGCAGCCAGGGCTCAAACGGGCGCCCATAAGGGATGCCTGCACAGCAGGCGGCTGCTTTAACCTGATGCACCTTACTTTTTAACTTTCAAACCTCCAAGACAAGGTCAAGAGCAGCACTTCCCAGGAAAACACTAGAGGAGACGCTGACGGGGCTGCGGATCACCCTTCAGGCAGCTCTGCAGCCATGTGCACCCCTTCTACGGCAGCCATCTTCAGGGGCCCCTCCCATGTCCACTTAATCGGTGAGTGTCTGTACTCAGGCACGTCCAGATGCTGGACACAGCTGAGAAAAGTCAACCACCGTCCTTACCCTGTAAGAGCTGGGGGGTGGGGGGAAATAAGGATAAAACTGAAAAAAAAAAAGACAAGAGATTATTTCAGACAGTAACATGATGAGAGAAAACTGCGACGAGAGGGAATGACAGGGACTCTGTTAGACTGGGTCAGCAGGGAGGGTTCTGAGGACACAGTGACATCTGAGGTGAGACCTGAACAGCACACAGGAGTCAGCACACAGAGACGGGTGGCTGAGGGTGGGGCAAACAGAGAGGCTGAACAGGATCACGCTGGGTGTACCCTGGGTATGGGAGGGGTCAGTGTGCCTAGAAGGAAGGGGCAAACCACGGGAAATGAAAGATGAGGGCAGGCTGATTATACGCCAAACAGGTGCAAAGTCACTGTGGGGTGAAGCGAGCTACTGGCCTACTCCCATCTACACTTTCAATAGGTTCTGCTAGTCCTTGCACTGGGAATATCCTGCAAGAGGAACAAGAGTGGAGACAGGAGTCCAAATAGGAAAATGTGACAGATGTCAGGCAAAGAAAAAGTGTGGCATGGACGAGGGTGACACCAGTGGACAGGTGGAGAGTCGGATAGAACTTGGAAGGAAAACAAAAGAACTTGCAGATAGAGTTGATTTTGGAGATGAAAGAAGGGAGAAAAAAAAAAGGCGGCATCAAGGACAGTCCTGGGTTTCTGGCCTGAACCAATGAGTCTGGGTAAGCCTCCTCTTCATTTTCACAAACATCTGTCCATGCTCTTCTGCCCAACACTGAACTTAATCCCACCAGGCCCCTCTGAGCAGAGAACATTCACCCTGTCCAAAGCAACAAAGCAGCTTAAATGCTAACACGTATAACCACGATTCTACAATAAAGGTTGGCAAGTCTGGCCTCTGCGCCAGCCTGGGGTCTGAGAAGCCTGCCTGGGCACGCACCTGCTCCTCCCTTGGCGTGGCTGTCGCCAGCTCCCGGGTTTGCAAAGACCCTCCACCCCAAGCAGCTGTTCACAGAACACTTTCAGCACCCTTCACCAGGCTTTTAAAAACAGATACTTTCTCCACCCTGAGTTTGTCACCATTTAAAATGTTGTGCTAGTTAGCAGTAATTATGTAAATGCAAGCAGCTATTTCTATTTTTAAAAGGGAACCCCATTTAGCATCCTTATATCCTGAAATGTTTAAAATAGCTGGTCCAGTGATGTTTTCACTTTATTCAAGCTGTTTGTGTGGATTCAAATACAGGTTCAGCAGAAACCAAAGCAAGTCAAACAGTTACTTTCTATTAAACATCTACATCAGAAGATTAAAAAAACTATTTTACATTTACAGAAAGCAGCCATCAAATCAGCACCACCACAGACTCGCCAAATCCACTGCCAAGCGGGGCTGGTGTCTGAGAGGTAATCAATTTGGGAAGGGACGGGTGGATTTCTCTAAACTCTTCAAAAAGGGAAAAATACATTTGAGCAAATCTTTTAATTATAGTATCTTCCAAAGAACCTACGAAGCCTTTATTCTTTCCAAACCTAATGCTTTTCAAAGGCAGCTTTTGCCCCTTAATTCCACATGAAATATTCAGTATAGCGTAATTAAATTTTTCCATGCTATTTTTACTGGGTTCACAGAAATAGAAGGTAGCATCATTTTTAAAACAAATTTCCCAGCAACTTCACTTTTACAGAGAATAGCTAGTTCTCAAAATTGGCAACTGAGAAAGTAGCAGAAGATGGCCCAAATGCTCGCACCCCTGCCACCCACGTGGGAGACACGGATGGAGTTCCAAGCTCTTAGCTTCGACCTTGGCAGCTGCTGCCATCTGGGAAGTGAACCAGTGGATGGAAGATCTGTCTCTTCCTCTCTGTAACTCCGACTTTCAGATAAATAAATCAATCTTAAGGAGGGGGGACCTCCCAATTTCTATTTCAGTCCTGTACGGAGAAGTGGGAGGTGGGCAGCCAAGGCAGGCTCTTTCACAGGTCACACCCAACTCAAACAAACAACCGCCCAGTTCTCCATTTATACACCTGTGCTTGCCACGAGGCACCTCGACGCATGAACCTTCACTTCCAAAGTTTAAATAGGGGAGCCTGTTGGATTTTCACTGTGAATCTATTTAGTAAGTAAAGAAAAAGAGGGGGAATGAAGTGCTCATCCTTGGCTGTTAAGAAATTTATAATGATAGAAAATGTTTGGATAACTGGGTCAGTTGTGTATGTGAGGAGTGGGCTTGATGGTTTGGGTCATTTAAATACCAAAAATCTTTTATCTCTTTTCCAGTCTAGGTGAGCAAGCTATGAATGAACACAAAACACCACACTCAGACTGGCCCATGGGTTACAGTTAAGTGTTACACAGAACGACCACTGCCCAGCGGATGCCAGGAACCAGCACTGTTGGCAACCTCTTGGGTGCATGCCCGTCCTTGCTGGGACACAGCCTATCAGAATGCACAGCTCCCGCCACAACGTGCACCTGCAAGCTAAATCTTTATTTGGAAGTCTGCAGACTTACGCACTGGAGGATCCTCTCACTGTGGCCAGGGGGGCTGCACAGCAGCACAGCTGAAGCGGACAGCCGAGGTTCCGGAAGCAAAGAGCTGCCCCCACCCCACCCCACCCCCGCCTCAGGCCAGCAGAAAATTACTCTGGATGCTGCCCTAGAATTCCCATGTGCCAGGCTAGAACAGGCAGATACTTAAGATATTTTTTCAGCTTTTTATAAGAAAAAGGAAAATAAAGGGCTCTTTAATGAGGCTGTTAGAACTTTAAAAAGTTAAAGCAGGCCGGCGCCGCGGCTCACTAGGCTAATCCTCCGCCTAGCGGCGCCGGCACACCGGGTTCTAGTCCCGGTTGGGGCGCCGGATTCTGTCCCGGTTGCCCCTCTTCCAGGCCAGCTCTCTGCTGTGGCCAGGGAGTGCAGTGGAGGATGGCCCAGGTGCTTGGGCCCTGCACCCCATGGGAGACCAGGAAAAGCACCTGGCTCCTGGCTCCTGCCATCGGATCAGCGCGGTGCGCCGGCCGCAGCGCACCGGCCGCGGCGGCCATTGGAGGGTGAACCAACAGCAAAGGAAGACCTTTCTCTCTGTCTCTCTCTCTCACTGTCCACTCTGCCTGTCAAAAAAAAAAAAAAAAAAAAAGTTAAAGCATATCTTAATTCATATATTTGCCTTTTGCTTTGTAAATTTACCTGTCATTGATTAAAAAGAAGAAGAAAAAAAAAAAAAAAAAAAACCACCACCCTCCAAACTCAGGGTGGGCAAGGAGACGTCACAGCCTGGGGCCAGCTGCTGCTGCAGCCACCAGCACATGGCTCCTCTGAACCGGGAGGCTGTGAGGAGTGGAGGCCTGACCCACAAGCAAACAAACCCAGGCACGGGCAACACAATGCCACTTGTATGCCACAGAGAGAGGCATTGAAGTGTATATAAAAGCATCTACCCCCATCGTGTTGGCTAAACCAAAAGCCAACCAGACCTAGGAGATGTGCTTCTGCCTTCTCTCGGTGTTCCAGCAAAGCACTGGGCTTAGCTTCACAAGGACACTGGCCCAGCTGTCACTTTTCAGACCACACCACCTCCTCATTCAAGTATTCAGTGGCTCTGCTGTCGAGTTTATGGCTAACACAATAGGTAACCCAAAGACCAAACAAGGTGTGGCCACACAGCAACAGCTCATGGCACCGACTCTGTCAGGGGGGCACAGGGCGGTATGGCAGGGTTTTGGTAACCAAGACTAACAACACTGACTTCACAGTATTCAGTAAAGAGCTGAGTGAAATGAACTGCAGAAACTGTCTATTTGATAGGAAAGAACTGTTAATGCAGATTAACAGTGTGGCCACAGGGCAGAATTCAGTCATTGTAGAGGGCAACAGCAGCATTTCAAAGCCTCACGGTGTAGGAGAGCTGCGGGAAAGCCCAGGAGTGCTCAGGCCAAGCTGCTACGACTCCAAGGGACCCAGGCTCCAACTCTTGGTCACGTGGCCTCCACCAGGCCACTCCCTGGCCTCCCTTACTTCATCTGGGTTCATGAAAAAGGAGGGGACAAGGCTCTCTCTGTAGGCTCTTTGGGTTGTTAAGAACGCAACTGAGATGCTATGACACCACTTTCTTAAACTGCACAATATTTTCTTCATAGAACAATGCTAGCTATGGATGAAAATTAGCTAGTCTTGGAATTGGGAAGCTCAGTGAGTTTATTTCGGAAGGCAAGAAACATCTGGAGGCTACCTTTTCTTTAAGATGTGTGCTTCCAACTTGACTTAAACCAGGGGTGGGGAACCTTTTCTCTGCCAAGATTTATTTGCATATTTATAATATCATTTGCAGCTCATATAAAATTGCCAAATTAATTTGCCTGCTATAGATTTATTCAATTTCAAGTCCTGCCTGCAGTTGCCAAACCTAATAACGTCACAGGCCTCATATGGCCCAGGGGCTGGACGGCCCCCAAATGACATCACAGGCCTCATATGGCCCACAGGTTGGACGGCCCCCAAATGAAATCACAGGCCTCATATGGCCCACAGGCTGGATGGCCCCCACTCCTGACTCACACTGTCACTGGGTGACAAGTCATCATATGGCCCATGGGCTGGACGGTCCCCACTCCTGACTCTGTCCTTGGGTGACAAGTTGCCATGGGACTGCAAAGATGCTTCACTGAAACACAGACATTAACTTCCCCATCTGTGCTGGTCAGCTTCGCATTACTGTAACAAAATACCAAACACGAAAAGGAAGGGGAGGGGAGGGTCCACCTTTGAGAGAGAGGGAGAGGCAAATAGGTCCCCAGGGCCCAAGTCACTGTCAGGACTCTTAGATCCACTGCCTCACCGCATCTTCACAACCAACTCTTGATGCGGGCTCTAAATCATCCCTGCTTCACAGCTAAAGAAACCACAGGAGACGCTGACGTTCCCAGGGTTGGAGGTGGGGTTAGGTTCCTGATCTGCCTGATCCCAGAGTATCAGCATCTGGACAAGAGACCAGGGTGGGCAGGACCAGAATGGAAACACCACTCCCCCAAGGCTAATCAACTACCGGCCTGTGCCAAACTGGCCACAGCCACCCAAATGCCACCATTTAGGCTCATTAATGCAGGAAGGGACGTGATGTCCCCTGGAAAAGGGAGTTAAGAGATGCCCGTAAGACCTGAAGTCCTGGTTCCCTTCAGAACCTTCTCACAGGAAAGCCACACAAAATTTTCTCCCAGAATTTCACTCAATACACTGCAAAACTGTCAGAGTCAACTCCAGGGCCACGCTTCACGGAGCAGCAAAGCGACAAGCACTAAATACGCAGGAGGAAAAAAATCACAATAGGCATAAACCAACCACCCTGGGACTTTCCAAACTCATCCGAGAGAAAAGCTCTCCACAAGAACCAGCCCTAGCGTGGCTCCCCCCACCCCACCCTCCAGCAGAGCCCTCCAAGGCCGTGGGCCAGAGCCCCTCCCTGCCCGATGTCCTCTGTGAGCCACCAGAGGGCACCAAGTCATGGAACTGCTCTTTGACATTTTCTGTCCCACATTTTAACTGCAACAATGTTGAGTGAAAACCAGATTTCAAATCAATGAAGTGTTAAGTATGCATCTTGACAGCAGCTTAAGCTTTTGTTGGTCTTGTATTTCATTTTAACTCCATAAAAGGTACACACATGCAACAGCAGGATATACTAAAAACAAAGTTCATCAGATCCTTAGATTTATGAAAATAACTCCCGGATAAACCAAAGAGTGACGCACTTGCTCCGTCAGTCACCAGGACTGTCACCTGGATACCCTGTCCCAACCCTGTCCTTTCATGTGTACAGAACATTCTGGCTTCTTCTTGGCTTTGGAAGTCACTCTTGATTGAATTAGAGATGGCCGTTTGCCGTGATGAGATTATGGTGCAGTTTGTTGAGCATGATTAAAACCTGATTTACTCTTCACGCTACAATCTTGTAAGAACACACACCACACTGAAAGAGTGCTCCCTGTATTCTGGGTCGCTGTTCTAAGCACTCTGCACTAATTTAACACTCAGAACACCCCTCTGAGAGGCTGTAAAATTCTATCCTATACAAAGCTCAACCCTGCATTTCTTCAATGCAATCTCGACTTCATCTTTAATCTCTATCCCCCACTGATGATTTATTTGTCTACACAACTATAAATATGGATTTGTGAGTTCTGCCTCATTAACTGCGTTCTGCAATTATTTCTTCACCCTAGAATTCCTTATACTTTCATGGGTGGGTAAGAGCATATAATCAAAATAATTCAGCAATAAGTTTAATGAAAAATACATCATGCCTCAAAGGTTTTTGTTTTGCTTTGTAGTACATAAACATAGGGACTTTGCTTTTCACTCTTTACGTAAAAGGAACTAAAACATATTTACTGATTTGATCAGAAATACCAGTCACTTCTCTATGTAAACCAGAATCAGATTTTAATTGGACTAGTGTTTGAGCTGATTTCTTCAGGGCCTAAGGAACAGCTGAAGTTTACACTAAAATGAACAAAACAAAAATGACAAATAAATTATACCTGAAAAGAAGTTTTAGTTCTTTGAACAATTCATCACAAGTTAGTGCTATAAATAAACTCACCTTGTACATCACAGGATACCATCTCCTAGGTATTGTTTTTGGCCTTGTTAAAAAAAAAAATCTCCTCGAAGTATTTCAAAATCAATATTGAAATTTTGGCCTGTGCCAACACACAAAGAATAAAGATGGGGTAACCACAGCATCGGTGAGGGTGAAGAGGGAAACACAGGTACTCTTGTAGTACAACGTGCACACACACACATGATGACTGCAGGGGATCTGTCACTGTGAGAATACCGTGTGCGCTTACACCAGCTGGGCCGGCTGCACCACCAGGCGACGCGATGCGATGGGACCACAGGCACATGTGCGCTCCATCGTGGCATGTGACCACAACTGTCCCCTCTGCACTTCGTTAAAGCCCACTTGAGGTGGAAAATAGCTTATCTAGCTTACTTGATGCTAGAACGTATTGTTATAAGCATCTGCTTGTTTTCTACCTCCCAACTTTTATTCTTTGGTGTTTCTTTCTAAGCTGTCGCTAGACGTCTTGACATTATATCCCAGAGACATGACTTCTGTTTCTCCTTTGCATTGGGAGGCACGAGTCCAAGGCACACGGCAAATGCATAATAACTCACGGTTCCGAGTCCTGGCGTGCTTCAGCTTCATACACACCATCCTCAATGGGGCTGCCAGTTACTTCACTCAAGATCAAATTTTTATATTCACTCCCAAATTTTCACTGCTTTATCATTTCAGAAGTACACAGTATACATATAGAAACAGCAAATCACAGGCAGACACGCAGGAAGGACGCAACACCGTGATCCCTCGTTCGCTCAGCAGCATTTATTTGAAGCCACTGTGCACTATCCTATGCCCTGGGCACACAAGGGAGACAAGACAGAGGCCCTGCCCTCACGGAGCTTCCATTCTCACCAGAGACAGGCGGTCATCAAGATGCGCATACATCATTGCTAGGAGAAAAGGGAAGCTTGCTCGAGGGCACAGAGGGGCTTCACGGCTGGTCATGGAGGCCTCGGGACCATGCAGCATGTAGAAACCTGCTCTGCAGAGCTGAGTCAGGCCGTGGAGCTCCTTCAGTCTGGGTGAGGAAGAGTAGGTCACTTTAATCTATTTCCTTTTTAGCAACATTCGGTTCAAATTAATTTGGGGTTTGGAGTACAATTAATTCACTAATAGAATTGTCTTGAAGCCAGATATGGGGCTGGCAGGATGGAAAAGCTCTCCCTACGAATCCTGCCAGCTCTCACTCCAATGTGTCAGCCCTCCTGGCTCCAGCTCTGTGGCTCCCTCTTCTTGCTGCGCCCATGAACAAGTGAGTGGTGAGAGCCTGAAATAAACAGGTGTAAAATGGGTCAAGACCATCGCTTCTATTTCTGTTTTTAACTGAAGAAAATCTGCCCCATTTCCAGAGGCAAAGAGAGGAGACTTATGAGGAAAGGCAAACTGAAGTCCCTATTAAACACACATGCACATATGTGTGTGTGCATGTCTGCAGGCATGTCCTCTGTACATCCGCTATACCATACACACCCACATTCATGTGACTCACTTTCCTACAATAACTCAAAGCTGACTCTGGCACAACTGGTCTTTCTGCAATCGATACAACATAGCTTTTATTGGTTAAAGTTTGTATCATCAAAGGACACAAAACTTTTTTAAAAGATCAAATTAAAGATGATCAAGGTTCAGATTCAAATAATACTAATTTCAGAAGAATGCTTATTCAGCAATCTATTTGAGTTTTTATTGGTTTTTCCTGATGCTTCACCCCAGAGGAGTCACTGTGCACAATCAGCTCTCTCGTTCCGATTGACATGTCTGAGTACCACTGATGTAACACAGCGCTTCGAGAGGCTCCCCACTGCCTGCTGAGGTACAGGACAGCAGGTGGACTTCGTAAACTCAATTCCAAGCACTTCCAAATGTCACTTCCAGCCGGTTTCACCACTGAAATGCAGCATTCCTCACTTCTCCAATGGCCCTAGACCTACCACGATGACACTGACGCTGAAGGGTCTCAAGGGTCTCCCATCTACCTCTCCTTAAGCTCGGAGGAGTCACAGAAGTGCAGGGGAGGAGTCATAAAAGTGAATGACTTCTGGAGCCCGTATCGTGGTGCAGCAGGTGAAAACTGCCCGCTGAGATGCTGGCATCCCACATGGGCGCTGGTTCATGTCCTGGCTGCCCCACTTTCAATCCAGTTCCCAGAAGATGGTCCAAGTTTTTGGGACCCTGCCGCCCATGTGGGAGACCCAGACAAAAGCTCCTGGTTCATAGCTTTGGCCTGGCCCATCTAGGAAGTGAACTGCTGGATGAAGACCTTTCTCCCTCTCTTTGAAAATAAACAAATAAATCTTTAAAAAAAAAAAAAAAAAAAGTGTGAGTGATTTCAGGCAAAACCCCGAATGCTTTGTGAGGCTTCCAGAGCAAGCTAAGAGCACATGGTGGTGGAGGTGTGGATACTGTCTTAATTTGTTTTCCCAATTTGGGACTGATTCCCAACCAAATCTCCAAATTGACTAATATTCCAGTGAGTCAAGGTAAGTAAAAAAGGACCATCACAGTCAGGCACGTGTCCTGGGTTCAGAGGCACATCATTTTCACAAGTCTAGAATATGTAGTATAAAGGCCATACTGTGAAACGAACAGAACCATGGGCCTCTCCAAGGGAAGTCCTCGTGGCACAGCCTATTTCCCTAGGAGGTATTCAATTAAATAATTAGCTACTTAAGATGCCAAAATGACAAACTTAATATTTCAAAGCAATCAAATGTAAATTATATCTTTTTTACATAAAATGTGATCATCTCTGGATTTAGCAGCTTCTGACTTAATTCCCACTGCTCTTTGCATATTTGTTTTCCGCTACCAAAATTTTAAAGACCTGTATAGGCAAAAGCCACACTTAGTTCTCTCTTCCTCTAACACCATTAGGTTTAGCATTTTGGCCTGTAGAACATGACCCCACAGTCACTTCCCTGATTCATCACTCACAACCAGACGCTGGCCTGGGGACTAGGGACCCAGAAGTAAGGGAGACCCAGCACCTGTCCCCAAGGGGTTCCTAGCTTAGTGGATTAAAGGCTCCAGGAAATTGCAATATACCATGGCAACAGCCTCACGGGGATGTGAGAAACAGAGCCAAGGTCAGAGTGAACCACAGAACAGGCTGTGCTGACAGAGTCCAGGGAGGAAAATACGGGAGCAGTGGCGCAAGGACTGCCTCTGCGCTGTCCACTGGACCAGGCAGGAGTCAGAGGGCAGCTGGGGTAGAGGAGAAAGGAAACGGGGGAGACAGCAGTGGGAACTGCCACATTCTGGGGCGGGCAGAGAGCAGGGTGGAGAGCAGGTGGGTGAGACGCAGCTGCACGGGGCAGGCTACACTGCACCAGGAATGGCTGTGGGTTTGGTTTTCCTTGACTTTCACCTGCTTCTGTGGCCAGAGGTGGGGAGTTTCAGATTTAAGAGTACTTGACTAGTGGAGAGAAATCCAAATGACCACCAACAGGAAAGCCTCACCTTAAAGACAAGAAAGGGGCAAATGCTTATCTGCTGCAGGCCAACAGCTGCCTCCATGCAGTCGAGACGGCTACGTGGTTACTAAAGTTTCAGCAGTAAATCTGTGCAGCAATAAATAGATTATAAGCTTAAATGTTATACTGCAGATTTTTTTGTACATTTTAGTGTCCCAGGTCTACAAGAAACAAACAAAAAAACCAATGTGCAATGTCAGGACACTCACTTGTCTCCTAGACACAGCAACTTCACTTTCAAAGAAACTAGAATTTTGTGTGTGCCAATTAAGTAATTACACTAACAATGCTTTTTTAAAAAATGAATTCTCTGGTTCTCTTCCATAACATGTGTTATAATTTACAAGTGGCATCATAAAATAGCTCTTCTTTGGCTGGGACCCATTCCAGTCCATTTGTCATAAAGATTTATGTGTGAAGGGGTGACTTTGCACACAAAACACCATTTAGTGAGGAGGAAAAACTCAAAACAAATTGCAATAAAGCCATTAATGTTCTTTTAATTTCTTGCTTAATTTCCAGTTCTTAGTATTCATACACTTTCCCCATCAGATGGAAACATTTTAATTAGAATAAAGAGAGTTTAAGAAAACTTACGCAATGAGTAAACTTGCATTATTGCTAAATGGTGTTTCCTGAGCTTTCTTTCGTGTGACCACAATGGTGTGAGAAGGAGCACATTACACGGAAGGAGCGTCCAGGATGGAGTGGACTGTATTGCTTTCAGGGGGACTGAAGTCTGACCTCGACTAGTTACGAACCACTTCGATCCTTCATCCCCATGACACGAGTACAACAAAATGACCACATACTTGTTCCTTCGACACAAGTCATCCAGGAACATCAAGTTCGTCTACACATGCCTCAACATGGGTCTTCCTAATATCAGGGCTTGCTAGATTTCTGAGGACTTTCTGGTTCATCTTAATACTGCAGGAAAATGCACAAAAAGGAAGCTCTGGTAAATCTAAACTTGATAAAGGCACAGAATCACGGTATCATCGACCTTTACCTTCAGGGCTGGGGTAGGCAGCACTGGCTATCGGTATGAAAAGCAACAACGCATGTGTGCTCTACTGAGGTGTCCCTGCTTACCTTTTTAAAATATTTTTATGGTGCACAGGTTAAAAAACAGCTTTCTGACATCATCAGCTTTCATTCATCTTAGACACAATGTGGACCAAAGCCTATAGACAGGAGAGTTCTTCAAAAAGTTCATGAAAATGCTATTGGGGGGGGGGGGGGGGGACTATGCATGCATGTCAACTTCTGGCATCAAAATAAACTTATCTTTGAACTCCACTTCCCACAACTTTTAAAAGTGTCCTCAAACACGTGTGTGTGTGTGTGTGTACACCTGTACCTATACAAATTCTCTGCGTGGTGAAAGGCTGACCATCAGATGGGGCTGGCTGACTTCGCATGCTGCTGCCTGTATGACATGGCAGGCAAGGAACTGCTACGGCCAGGATTCAAACACGGTTAGGACTGGTCAGTATTTCTAACAGGATTAGAGGATTATGCTGAAATAAAGACAAGCATATAAAGGTATGTCCAAAGATAAGGAAAGATAGAACCTAAAGGATATTTTTACAGGGGAGAGAGGACCACATTGGATTAGCATTTTCATTAGTCACTCAATGAAAGGTCTTCTGGAAGATCCTGTCAACATTATGGCCTGTGTTCTCATACTTTACCCTAACTTAGAAATCTTGCCCCAACCCTGATTCCAGGAGCTATCACTTGAATTTAAAATAAGGCAAGAAATCCCTCAGAATCTTTCAGCCCTCCCCTGGCCTGCACTTAGGCTACAGAAAACAGAACACCTCAGGGCACGGGCTCCACTTCCTGCTTAAACCAGCGACATCAGGCTAGTGTCCCCAGCACTTCGCTCACAGGCTCCTCGAAGCCAGCAACGACGCCATGCTGTCGAGCCCAAGCCAACACTCACCCACAGCCCAGGCTCCTGGTTTTCCTTCTCCAGCTGCTTCTCATTCTCCCTCGCTTCCTTCTCCTCCCTTCCTCTTCACGCTGGGCGCCCCAGCTCCATGTTCAGACTTCACTCTGTATACACCCCTACAGGACTGAAGAACTATTTCTACAAGCTGAAAACACTCAGAAGTCGAAGCCTCTTCCCTCCACCACACTCACACGTGTGGCCAGCTATTCGACAACTCCAACTGGTGCCTTAGAGTCAACACATGTGTTCTCCTGACCCCTGCCACTCCTGAGGTCTTCCCCGCCCCACAACAGGAAATACCGTTCTTCCAGTTACTTGGCGCAAAACACCAACATCATCCCTGACTCCACCTATTTTAATACAATCTTAACAGTTTTTCCTGCAAACTATATCCTGACTCCTGACTGCCCTCGTCCAAGCTACCACCAGCTCCTGCAGTAGTCCGTCCCCTGCCCGGTCTCCTGATCCCAACTCCATCCCGCTAAACCAGGAGTCAGCAAACTTTTCCTGTAGAGAGTCAAGGAGTAAACTGTAAATATCTCACATCAGCAAGCATGCCACTTCTGTCTCAACAATTCCACTTGGCTGCTGCAGTTCGAGAGCAGTCTCAGACAATACAGAGTGTGGTTCCACTCCAGCAACAACGCAGCCAAGTGCACATTGAAATGTGAATTTCATATAACTTGCAAGTGACACAAAATATTACTATTCACTTTGTTCAATTATTTAAAAATGTAAAGTGCATTCTTACTTGCTGCCTATACACAGATACGGCCCACAGGCTGCAGACTGCTGACCGTGCCCTGGACTCTGCCCTACATTCAAAGCAATCCTTTTAAACGTGTCTTTTTTTTTTTTTTTTTTTTTTTTTTGACAGGCAGAGTGGACAGTGAGAGAGAGAGAGAGACAGAGAGAAAGGTCTTCCTTTTGCCGTTGGTTCACCCTCCAATGGCCGCCGCGGCCAGCGCGATGCGGCCGGCGCACCGCGCTGATCCGATGGCAGGAGCCAGGAGCCAGGTGCTTTTCCTGGTCTCCCATGGGGTGCAGGGCCCAAGCACCTGGGCCATCCTCCACTGCACTCCCGGGCCACAGCAGAGGGCTGGCCTGGAAGAGGGGCAACCGGGACAGAATCCGGCGCCCCGACCGGGACTAGAACCCGGTGTGCCGGCGCCGCTAGGCGGAGGATTAGCCTAGTGAGCCGCGGCGCCGGCTTTAAACGTGTCTTTTTCCTGCTCAAAAATTCTTGGACGGCTTCCCTTCCCAACAATAAACTCAAAAAGGCCTGACTGTGGGCTGCCGTATCCTGCTCCTCCCGCCATGCTCCCTTGACACTGGACGCCTGGCTATCCTGGCCGGCCTGCACTACGGCCAAGCCTGCACTTCCCTGCATGCCCTGATGCTGCTGCCCCTCTGCTTGGCAGACCCCCACTCCAGATGTCTACACGGTTCCCTGTGTCACTTCCTGCCAATCACCTTATGAAGACACAGCTGCTAAAGTCACGCCCAGCGTGTGCAGGCGCACACACAAGCACAGGAACCCTCTGAACTGTTCACTGTGCCTCCCTGTCCTTCGCTTTACTTCTCCCTGACATTTCTTTCTTTTGAAACCAATAAACAAACCATTAGACACTTTTTAAACAGAGAAACAAAACGGCACGGAATGCTGGAATGCCAACAGCAGCAATTACGAGCTACGTGGCAATGAGCAAGTTAATTGAACGTCTCTGTACTTCAGTTTCCACATCTGTGAAGTCTAAGTGAAAACAGCACCCACTTCCCTCAGTGCTCTGAAGAGTTAAGAGTGCTAATAAGCATTCAGTGACTACTACTGGTTTTTGTTTTAGTTATTGTTTATCATTCCTGTCCCCCCCAACAGTTTTACTTACTGCTTTATTTCAAAGACCTAAAACAGTACACAGCACTAGACATTCAGTAACTATTTACTGAATAAATACTTGAATATAAGTCACTCTGGAGTGGGCAGAACACCCTCCTCCCATCATCACACGAACTTTCAGGAGGGCCAGCACAGAAAGGGCAAGAAAACCTGCCACCACCACCCCCACCCACCCCTCGGGATGGAGCTGCTCACGCTTCTCCTCTCAGTGGGGAAGCAAGTCTGTTTCCCACCCTGCAGCGAGACCCCGCCAACCATCCCCCTTCAAAAGAAACCCCTGCCATCCAGATTGCTGTAGACGCAAAGGTTACAGGCTCAGGTCTCAAACCAAATTAAGTAAGAAAGAGATTTCACATCAGTCAGGTTCAAATCCCACACGTAAAAAGCCGACTTAACACCTACTATCACAATTCTGTATAGGCCTTGCAGTATTTTTTGGACACAAACAAGAGACTGTTCAGTCAAAGCAGCTTACATTTAACTGACTTCTAAAACCAAAGAGTATCTCACCAAGTAACTGAGTCTCCCCTACCCCAGGCAGTGGCAGACACACTTCTGTCCACCCGTGAGACCCAGGGTCCACACAGGATACCACAGGTCTCAGGGCCCTGCAGTGTCTCCCCGTGTGACCGGGTTTCTGATTTACACAAGTATTAAGTTAGAATACTTCTGGGCTTTACCACTTTATGATGCGGTCTTTAATATGCTTGTATACTTCTTAGGGTTAGGGGAGCTCTTTTTCAAGCAAAGACACTACACCTCCTTTAAAAGAAGCAGAGGGATGGTGAGGTCACCCACTGCTCAGCAAAGCAGAAACGACCTCAAACCTCCGCGTTAAAATGCTTCACTGTGAAGCAAAAAACGAACATCCTCAATAATGGCTCTACCAAACCCAACATAAATGAGCAGATGCAGGTGGCGAAAACACAGCTACATTAACAGTGCACAGCTCCAGGGTGGGACTGCATTAACAGTCTAGAACTCCAGGGTGGGACTGCATTAACAGTCTAGAACTCCTGTGTGGAGCTGCCATTAACAGTGCAGAACTCCAGTGTGGGACTGCATTAACAGTGCACAGCTCCAGTGTGGGACTGCCATTAACAGTGCACAGCTCCAGGGTGGGACTGCATTAACAGTGCACAGCTCCAGTGTGGGACTGCATTAACAGTGCAGAACCCCAGTGTGGGACTGCCATTAACAGTGCACAGCTCCAGTGTGGAACTGCCTGCC